TTTTAGTTACATAAAAAAAATGGATCCGATGGATCTGATGGATTTTAGTTATATAAAAAAAAATGGATCTGATGGATCCAATGGATACATTGGATTTTGGTTATATAAAAAAAAAATGGATCCGATGGATCCAATGGATACATTGGATTTTAGTTATATAAAACAATGGATCCGATGGATCTGATCGATCCAATGGATACATTGGATTTTAGTTATATAAAAAAAATGGATCCGATGGATCCAATGTATAAGTATTTAGTTGTAGCTAAATACTTATCCATTGGATCCATCTTTTTTTTAATACTTATAAAAAAAGATGGATCCGATGGAGTATTAAAAAAGAAAGATGGATCCAATGGATAAATATTTAGTTCTAGCTAAATACTTGTCCATTGTATCCATCGGATCCATCTTTTTTTATAAGTATTAAAAAAAAAGATGGATCCAATCATACCTAATTTTAAGAATTTTTTATCACTGCACATTTTATCGCCAAAAAATTTTGGTCAGTGTACCATTTTAAGGGTCAAAAATTTTTTCCGGACATACCAAAAGCCAGATATTAACTAAAAATTGCCTGAATCTCATGATTTTCGTACAAAAAACATATACTATTAGTCCGTGTGTTGTGACTTCGAAAAGTGCCTAGAAAACGATTTTCAAGGGTATGGGCAATGAAAATTTCTTCATCTATCTTATTGCTTCATCTGAAAGAGCATGAAAAAATAAGCCGATTGGCCGTTTACTGCTCTATTCTATCTCATCTAGTTCCGAAGTTATACGCAAAAATGTGCAAAATATAAATTGCTGATTCAGCACAACGTGTGACGTCATTAGCTGGGTAAGTATGTTTATTGAATACTACACTGAAGCATAGCTCAGTTATTATGGGCCCAAATGAAATGAAATTTTGGATACTGATTGTACATGAGACGCATGGAAAAACACTTCTAATTTTGTTGCCAAGGTAACAATGTCGTTCCCAGGCCCCTTGCGCCAATTTTATAAAACAGCTTTATTCAAGGTACTGATAAAAATAAAATAATATCAGAAGTATGTGTACGATACCTATGCATGCCGAAAGTTTACTTGCATGATAATAATTCAAAAATGACATACACATAGAGAAATGCAACTAGTTATTCAAAATCAGTGTAAGGGGCCTGGGAACGACTGTGTTGCCTTGACAACGAAATTAGAAGTATTTTCCCATGCGTCTCATCATGTACTATCTGTATGCAAAATTTCATTTTATTTGAGCCAATAATCACTCAGCTATGCTTTAGTTTACTATTCAATAAACATACTTACCCCGCTTATGACGTCACACATTGTGCTGAATCAGCAATTTATATTTTGCACATTTTTGCTTATAACTTCGGAACCAGATGAGATAGAATAGAGCAGTAAACGGCCAATCGGCTTATTTTTTCATGCTCTTTCAGATGAAGCAATAAGATAGATGAAGAAATTTTCATTGCCCATACCCTTTAAGCATGTCTTAGATCTGAAATATTTTTACGGGAACTAACACTTTCTAACACGCTGAGTTCAAATCCGAAAAGCTCCCACTCCGTAGACCCGCAGTTTTTTCACAAAATGCTATTTTATCTTCACTAATTTCACAACAAATTTTTCATTGTTCAACATCACGGATCGATGACGATACACGATTATGTCACTCAAAAGGACCAATTTCTATTAACCATTCTTCCTTTAAACAAAAGACCGGTTTCGCTCGATTCATTTTGAGTTATGTAATCTTATGCGTGTTGGATGTAAACAACATATCTTGTCTACAACTTTGAGAAGGTACAGATAATTCCTTCTAATATCCTTAGTTCTGGATCTATTTCTATAAAATCACAAGGACGTTAATGTCAAGTCTTTGGGCTATATCTCTGGGCTGAGAAACAATTCCTTACATGCGATCAAAATGTTTTATACAAAGATATAAAACGGTAATCTATATGTAATGGATCATCACTGAAATTTGCAACACGGTTTCCAAGACGTAATTCAAGAGATAACTTATCATTGCATTTGAACTATTACATCAGTTGGTGTTATACTGTGCGATAAGCGAGTATTATTGGAAAGAGGGCTTCTATATACGTCGAAATCATCAAATAAACAGCGCATGCACACATTTCTCCACTTCGCGGTAAGTTTACAGAGCGTATTTTATACTTTGTGACTGATCTTTGTCTTTGATGTGAACATTTATTCTTATAGTTTAAGGTTATTTAAGATTGATCCTGTCGTAAGTCTTCTACCTGCAAACATTCGACAATATTTCGTTTTAGCGTTATCTTTGCCGTTACGTTGGCTTCGTGTTACTTTTGTTTTAAATATCTTGATCGCGTTAAAAGAGTTATTTTTCAGGCCAGTGACATAGCTAAAAGACTTGACATTAACGTCATTGTGATTTTATAGAGATATCTCTAGAACTGAGGATTTTAGAAAGCGCTATCTGTACCTTCTCAAGGTTATAGACAAGATATGTTGTTTACGTCAAACACGCATAAGATTACATAACTCAAAATGATTCGATCAAAACCGGTCTTTTGTTAAAAGGAAGAATGGTTAATAGAAATTGGTCCTTTTGAGTGACATAATCGTGTATCGTCATCGATCCGTATCGTTGAACAATGAAAAAATTTGTTGTGAAATTAGTGAAGATAAAATAGCATTTTGTGAAAAAACTGCGGGTCTACGGAGTGGGAACTTTTCCGATTTGAACTCAGCGTGTTCGAAAGTGTTAGTTCCCGTAAAAATATTTCAGATCTAAGACATGCTTAATGAAAGTGAACGATATCGGGTCACAACATACGGACTATATTATTTAATTCGATAATTTGGCAGTCATCATTTCAATTTCAATTAAATCATTCTCTTGTGTTAATTAACAACTTATCAAAGCAAATTTTATCACTGCACATTTTACATTTTATCACTGCACATTTTACTTTTATCACTG